AATTTTATTGTTAACTGATTTTACATTAACTTCACTGTGGGTTTAACTTATTTGAGTTGGACAAAATTATGGACACATTTATGTAATAAAGACTTGGAGAGGGTTCATATAATTTGATGGGTATCCTGTGCACTCTTGTTTGTTTACATTTTAAAACTGCAGTGCCAATTTATACCCTTAGTATTGGGAGTTCTGTGTTTGAACATAGCTTTGTATCATTGGTAACTGTAATACCATTTAAAGATCCATGAGGCAGAAACCATTTCTTCTACACTCTCATGACTGTTCTCACAACAGATGTATTCATACAAGAGTCACTGTTGTAGATGGTGGGTGAAATGCTAGCATTGCAGGTGGGCAGAATGGTGTCCCAGGGCCCACAGCTGTAGAAATACTGGACGGAGGAGCAGGTTGGAAAGCACCGAGGATCTGGGTTATGGTGTGTATTCAGTGCAGCTTCAGATGCTGTATCGGTAGCTGAAGCTTAAGGAACCTCTTCACCTGTCCAAGGAAGCATAAGGCTGCTACCGACTTCCATAGGCTAAGTAGTTATTTGAGATTTTAAAGAAGCTTGTCTCAGAGAAATACATGCCACAGTGAAGAATGAGTTTAGCGATGAACATAAATTGTGCCACCTAGCATTTGGTGAGAGAAGTGTGGACCACCAGTGCAGTACAGTCATATTCTCTGACAAATGTGCAATTAGCTCAGCAAAGAATGGGCCAGTGTGAGTTCACAGACCACAATCCGAATGTCAGAACTCAAAGTATGTTTCAAACTCCACACAGTGGTAATGTGTCTGTTCAATATTGAGGTTTGATTTCAGATGAAGGGGCTGGAATATTCCATAACATAGAACAGCACTTAAATATAATTGTGCCATCTGTAAGACTGCTTTGTGCCAATGGAGTAATCCAGTACCAATAAAATAGCACCTGCATTCATGATTTTTATGTGGTTCAAGAATGGCCATCATGGAAGTACGGATGTCAAACTCACTGACTGGCCACTGCAAACAACTGATATGAACCACACAAATTATATGCAGTAAGGTGAGGCAAACCATGCATGAATTCTAATCTGAGAAACAGATACTCTCTGGACCCTTGTCAGATGTTTCAAAAGAAGCTGCTTTATTTCAATATGTTCACTTTCTAATTCAGTCCAGGACAAGACAAATGAGCTCTCTGGATGAATTTTAGGTATTTCTGACATCTTACATCTTTAAAACAGCCCATTCAAGAACCACGATATTAATTTATACTTTGTAAATAGTTTTCTCAAAGAAACAAAAATGCTTGTGTAGTGTTTTTCTAAATAAAATTGTTTGTATGCAGTCACATTCAAACACAGAATCTTTTAATCAGACTGCCAATAAATAACAAATGGAAAAGTAAAGAAAACTCACCTGCTCTTTCAACTGTGCCATTGATGAAATTTTGAAACATACAGTTTATTAAAATACAACTTCACAGTATAAATGGGTGTTTGTATGAACATAAAATATGCATTAAAAATTATGCCAATACCACAACTTCAACTCACATTACTGACCTTCGCATCAACATTAGTCTCCCTATCCACTTGTATACCAGCAAATATGGATGTCCAATCGAAGTATAGTTTTCACCTTCTTTTTGCAGTGGAACGTAGTCACAGGTCTCAGAAGTCAATAATATGAATTCATATTTTTCTTCAAATCAGGTAGACATATTGGTGTCTTTGCTCAATATATATCTAGCATAAATAACTATGATTAATAAAAGGCAAAGAAAAGCCACATATGGACAAGTACAAGAAAAATGCAAGTGACTGGAATTATACTACCACCTGTATGCTTACATAACTTCTAGAACTTGATTTGTGTTGCATAGAACGTAAAATATTTCAAATAAAAATGGCAATTTTTTGTCTAACCAAACCATACATGCATATTTAAGTAGCAACAAGGAATTCTGAACAGGGCTTATAAAAACGTTTTCCTATTGCAAATTTCCAGTACCACCAACTTTTGTGTCATTAATGTTATAGGTAGATAATGTAAGCAAATAAATCTGCAATAACATTAAATTTGATGCATGGGTTGGCATGCTGGTGTAATGTATGGATGGTCATAGGTTCAAATCCCATTCAGGTCAGAATTAGTTTAATGCATGCAATTGTAAATATGGTAGTGTTACTGTTTATATTATTTTATTTTTGGAGGGAACTACTTAAGTACAGATTCTATGTTAAATATGTTGAATATAACTTTAAAATTTTACACAGCTGCCATTGTTGATTTAAGAACAGTATTTCATACATAACTGGTTGAAATTCCTATAATCTATCTTCATACAAATTTCACATTCCTAGGTCCAACAGTACAGCATTTATCGCTGTGGAACTGAAAGCCACATCAAAGTTTTATGCAGCCACCATGTTGTTTTACATTCTCTACATTAAGAGTAGTTGTAGATTTATCAAGCATCAACCATCAACCATTAGGCATCATTTTAGGATCCTATGTTAACACATTCACCACCAGAATGTAATTTCTAACATCCCTTTAAAGTCCAGGGGTAACTGAATGTACCGCCGGCTTTAATAATCCATAATTCAGCATTTTGCCCAGAGTATTTATGAGTTTCATATAATTTTCAACATAAAGAGTGATTCTTTCCATAAACAGCATTTATGAACTATTCTTTGCAATGGGAAAGTGTGAATTGTCTTTGCAGTAGCAACTGAATGTTTAAATATTTTTTAGATGAACTTTATCTTCAAAGGGTTAAATACCAGGAATTAAAACCCACGGAAGTGGTTTTGTAATGTCTGAAGGAAAAATCATTTTGCAAGACACAAGAAGATTAAATATTTGACATTACCTTTACCAGACTCTGAGGGTGTTGTACTGTGCACAGCAGCACACAGAAATCTTGTTTCTCTCTTGATGTTCTTTTTGAGACATACTGCGCAATGCCTTATAGAGAACTTATCACCTCTGGTGGTTCTTGGGTTTTGAACTGTCCCATCTAGTCAACATTCTGGACTTTTCTTAGGTGCCCATTATAACAGTATGGGTGTGGTTGTTTGTGGCAACACCCGACTCATCAGAGGATGAAGAAATCGTCAGTTGTGTAAGCCAAAATATTTTCTTTGACCTACTATTGAGTTTGGAGTAGATGAATGAAGAGTAAACAAGAGCATAATGCAGAAGACAATACTAGTTACCATAATCCATGCCATGTGTGTACATGTTATAATCAATGATGAACATGGCTTCACCTTTGACGAACCTGCCCTTTTCCTCAACGTACCTGTAGTTTTTGCTGTGTAAAGGGTTGTGCTATATTTACCAGTCACTTGCCCTGGAAGCTGGGGACATGTACATCATGCTTCTGTCAAGAAGTGACGATTTCAATGGATTATATCTGAATCCTCAGGCCACCACATTCAGTGCAATATATGTTCCTTCACCTCCCCATGGCTGGTGATGGAGATCATCACATGGATAGGTGAAGGTAGATGTAAAGTGTGGTAACTGAGTTTGCTGAGCTCACTCAAGAGTAGGGGACCTATTAATTCATGATTTGTTGTAAGGAGACCTTGACTGGGCACCTACAATAGGTGTGAAAGTAAAAGAGGCTGTTATAGATCTGTGAAGGAGTGTATCAGGCTGATAACACTGGTGGCTTTCAGTGGTAGTGAAGATGGTTGCTACAATGGACTTGTTGTTATGAATAATTATATCACACAATTGAAGTTGCACTGTTCCACTTTAATAATGAAGATTCTGCAGTATCTTTGGACAGGAACACTACTAAACTACTGTAAAAATTAATCCCTTTGACTCATCTGAAAAGTACTGTAATGTGCAGCTGTTAAGTATTAAGACACCATAAATGCAAGATTTTAGTAAAATTCTTGTAAAGTCAAATGTATGTGGAATTTCAGAGTCAAACTTGACTCTCCAGGTAGAATAACTTATACCTCTTAATGATACTACAGAAAGCCTTCAGGTGGCATAACAAAACTTTCTGATGCACAGATGACATAAACTGTCACTCCAAGTGGTCAAGTGAAATACCCTCAGAAAAATAAAATCTATGGTTCTACTCCAGAATATAAAGTCATTCATATATAAGCCACAGTTCTTTGTTTTGGTTACAACACTTTATCGCTGTCTCTAGAGAAGTAAAGAAACAGAATTACAATGGGAAGAAGCTATACCAATAAAGCAAACATATAATACCTGCAAGGGGAACATAAATGTACTATGAGCAACAGCAAAGCCTTATCTACAAAGCTTTCCCATTACATTCCGAGTAACAGCAGTGGCATGCGAACATGAACAGTTCAATCAAGAAGCTGCAGAGGTCAGTATCCATTACTAATAATACTGGCAGTATACAGCATGCAAGACTGTCAGTACAGTTTAATGAGGTCACTGGCAAAGGGTTACGTTTGGAATGGATGAGAAAATCACACCTCAGACCATTTTATACAGTACAATAGAAATATGAGGTCAATAAGTTTCAATACTGTAATTCTGACTTATGCAGCATGGACAGCACTATGTCTAACCTGAATGAATGGTGAAATGTATGAGCCTCTGGTGACCAACTCAAGCTATCACTTCCCATGTCACCAGTCCCCTCTTCCTTCCAAACATCACACTTTTTAACAATAAAATGTGACTGGCTCTGGCTTCACAACCTGCACCTAGGGCCTTTCTAAGTAAGAATTTGACTTGGAGGAATGATGGTTTTCAAAACCATTATGATAAGCCATGCTATCAAGGCATCAATGCATACCACATAGTGTGTTTTGCCCTGAATTACAGGACACAATGAACCTGAAATTAAAGCCAACATCTCAAAGCTGTGAAACTGCATTTGGAGGGTTTCTGCCCCCATACATGACTGAAATACACCTACACAATTCCTCTGCTGTCAGGAAACTAAATAATCCAGAATAATAAATTTATTAAACTGTGTTCCTTCCTACAGCTTCATTTCCAATCAGAGTGCCTGCACAATCTCCAAATGCATTGTTCGGGATCTGAACTGAAGGGTAGAAGAGGCTTCTTAAGTTGGACACTGACAAAGTATCTGCTATACATGACAGCATTTCTCTTCTCTTCAAAGGGCTGTAGCAGAAACCTAACTGTGTCAGCCAAAGGCCCCAGGCACTCAGTCAGCTTGTGACTGTCTCAGACAGTGAACAGTACTGCAGGATTAGTGGTACTAAGTGGAATGGTGGGGTGAGTAAGACCTTCACAAAATCCTGGCTGATATAAGTCTTATAATGACTATACAAGAGCCCACACAGACCACACCATGTTCTAACCTGCTCATGTCAATCCGTCAGTTTTCTGCCAACAGCTGAATTGCAAATATGTCTTTTTCACAAGTGCAACAAGTGTTCATTGCTTAACATTACCTGACATCTTGTTCTTACTTAATTTGACAGAATGAGTTTAGGCACATATTTCATGTGCCAAACAAACTAACAATATCTCTTTCGATTAACTGTTTCTGTGACAAAGAAAACATGCACGACAGAAACCAATCCGGTCAACCTTCAATTTTAAGTGACAACAGATTGTTTCTGTGAAAGAATTAAAGGAATAATTCTATCCTTAAATCAGCTTCACAAGACCATATGGACAATATCTGTCAAACTTTGTTATGCTCTGAACAAACGTCACTGAGAAAACTCTCTTTTCAGAGTGGATTATACTATAGAAGTCTACATACAAACAATTTAAAACTTCATCCATATCATATACATGTCATGCAAGAACTCAAGGAATCTGATAAGGAAAAATGACTTCAGTACTGAAGATGCTTTACATATTTCATTCGAGGAGGTACAGACATTTTACATACAGTTTTCCATCAAAGGATATGTTAATATAAAAAATAGCAGAATATGAGGGTTGAAAATCTGCATACCTTCCATGAAAAACCATTACACTACTTAAGAGTAAAGTATCGTGTGCTGTCTTAATGGAGGATAACTAAACCCATTTTCTGTTATCATTTGATAAAAGCTGAGCATAACCAGGAGGTGAGTATAATTTAATTTCCCTTTTGGAAGTTAACAAGATGTGGCTACAATGCATAGAGCAAATTCAACAATGCAGATGTTGAGTACATTCTTTGTTGGTCACATTATTTTTTGAAATTTGTGCCCCCTTGATTCAAGGATCTATTACAACTAGATTTATATCTCTGAAGCTTTGGAGGAGAATGTGCACAAAACAAATGGCACACATTAGAAGAACTAAAACACAATATTAAGATGTGCATTTCAAATCTTAGTGCAGAAATTCTTCAATGGGTTGCATCAAACATGAGGAAAACAGTGAATGCATGCATCGCTAAACACAGTAGGTGTTTCCAGCACTTAATACAACATTGTTTTTGTTTTTGTTTTCTGTTCAATGTAATTTATTTCTTGACAAATAGAACATGCATACGGGTTGTGTAACCTTTTGATCACCTTGTATAAGGAAAGAGGCACTAAATAAATGTGCTTCAAAGCTGACAGTTCTTTAAAATGCCTCCAAGAAATGGAATCTGACCTGAGCAGTGAATGTGTTAAATGGCATTCATGTTTCTCTCACCTCACTAGTATGTATGTCCACAATCAGTATACTGTAAAAAACTGATGTTAAATAGTGTCTTGTTTCACAATGTGATAAAATGTAGGAAATTAAACAGTATGAAGTTTAGCTTCCACTGACATAATGTTCACATAAAATTCCATGAAACTTGGTTAGAAAGTTTACAGGGGACAAACACACATTTTTCTTATTTAGGGAAGGAAAATAGGTTAAAAATAACTAGATGAAAGCACATTTAACCCTTACAGAGATATGAGCATTAATATTAGTAACATAAAATTAGGTACAAAGAAAACTTAAACTCACTCAGGGATGTACACCTCCTGTTTCAAGATACAGGACAAAGTGACCCTTCTGACCAAATTGCAGTGCAATAAACATGCAATGTGAATACAATCCAAACACTTCGCAGAATTATTTCATATACTTTCCATCTTTCTTCACGCGTTATCATTTAACTTACGTAAGCAAACCTCGAACAAGGACTCTGTTCTTGGTTCGAGCCATCTGAGAGTCGAAAGGAACCTCGAAGAACTGGTTGACAGAATTTGCAGCACATGACACTAGGCCAGTTCCCACCGAGCAAAGAATAAATGTTGTGAGACTGAATGGTTCTGGAGCCAACGCATAGCCTGCCATGGCTGTCATTACTACCAGGGCTATAAGAGATCAAAACTGCATTAAGGTTTCACAGTGACTAAAACTGACGAGATCTCAGGTGACCAGCAAAATAAATTCAGAGCAGAAGTTCAACCCTTTGGAGACCCTATCTGTCTCCATTATCAAGAACTGAACACTGGACTTCTGTCTTGAACTCATGGGGTGGATCACCAGAGATTTTATCACTGGATAGACTTACACTACTTACAAGCAGGTTCATTATGTGAGCTGGTGGGTAAGAATTCACAACAGTTAATTTATATTAACAACGTACGTCCTATTCGTTCATACAATGATAGGCTCTCTGAGAAATGCAATTTGAGTTCACAGAGATGAGTACGAACAAAACTTTTCACAATTTCATGATAAAAGTAAATAACATCTTTCTAGCGCAGTTCATTCTTGTTAATTTTTATATCATTTCAAATTCTATACTTACAAATATTTTTTGGAAGAAAATGTTATGTTACAGATTCCACCACTGTTTTTGTCACAAAGTGACTATTCTAAAACCTTAGAAAAATATATATTTTAGAATCCTTTATATTTTTACTGCCAAATAACACTGTCTAAAATAAGCAGCTGGGTAAAAATAATTCAGCAATGGAAAGAAGTATGAATGCCCACTAATAAGGCAAGTTTTAAGTATTTAGAGAGGCAAATTAACCTGCAGATGAGTAAGTTCAACTTCACAAAACTTTTGAAGCCTCTGGCACATAAATTCACCTCAGTTGTTCTGGTAGTTGCATATTCATTTCTGGATATACATTTTAGTCTTAAACAATAAGTAAAATTCCCCCTGTGCCAAAGTACCACGTGGTAAGTGGGGTAAAGCTCCATGCATTCCTAATCTCAAAACTAGATGGAGATGAGCGGTCAGCTGTGTGCCCCAACTGCTTTACCTCTACTATCACTGACTGAGCTGTCCTGGCCACACGTGCCAAAAATTCCAATTTTGGGGAAGCATGGTAAGGAAGGAAAATAA